TCAAGTTTACGGACTACGGCTGTTTGAAAGATTTTCTTCCATAAAATTAATCGATTCTAGACTAATTCGACTCAACATTTCCAAAATACGTATATATTTTTTGGGAATAATCCGTATAAACTACGCTATAAACAAAAAATTGTAGGATTACTTACCTAGTGTGCACCATTCGACATCGCCATTCGACATCGCTGAACTTTGGAGACATCATTAATGATGTCTCCAAAGTTCAGCGAAGTTTTCGCAGAAAAATAACATCAGAAATCGCGGCTGCGGTGTGCTGAGTTCTTCCGCGACGAAAACAAGCTTGAGCAATGGCGATGTCGAATGGTGCACACTAGGTAAGTAATCCTACAATTTTTTGTTTATAGCGTAGTTTATACGGATTATTCCCAAAAAATATATACGTATTTTGGAAATGTTGAGTCGAATTAGTCTAGAATCGATTAATTTTATGGAAGAAAATTTTTCAAACAGCCGTAGTCCGTAAACTTCACACGTGCCAAATACGTGAGCCAATCACAGGCCAAGGATTCCTACAACGCGAAATTCGTATAACGAGAAACGTATCTTCGCGTTATGGGGGGGTCTACTGTAAATACTATTTTCACAAAGTACAGTAGATCCCACTATAAGACTGGTTCCTATAATTACGATTTTTATAAGACGGCGAAGAAATTGTGGCGGTATCCGTACACAACGGTAAGAAAAACTCCTATAATTACGTAAAACGTCATCGGGCAGCCGAACTACTTTCCCGCAGTCCGTAGCGCCACGCTACGGACGTTTAGGCGGATAAATTGAGTTTAGTATCGTCTGTTCATATAATTATATATAAATTAGGTACTGTACATATAATTATATATTAATTATATATAAATTAGGTACTGTATATATAATTATATATTAACTTAATTTATTGTAACTTTATTATAATTAAATATATATTTTTCGCCGTCTAGCGTCACGCTACGGCGAGTTAGGCGACCTATCGTCTGTCCAGTACTGTAATTTTATACATTTCTTGTGAAAGAAACATTTCTTATTTAACGGCCATAAAAATTATTTATATTAAGGATGTCTCCAAAGGTCAACGAAGTTTTCGCAGAAAAATAATATCAGAAATCGCGGCCGCGGTTTGATGCGCTGTTCCGCGACGAAACCAAGCTTTAGCAACGGGCGTAGTCGAACGGTACACACTCGGTAAGCAATCCTACAATTTTTTGTTTATAACGTAGTTTATACGGATTATTTTCAAAAAAATATACGTATTTTGGAAATGTTGAGTCGGATTAGTCTAGAATCGATTAATTTTATGGAAGAAAATTTTTCAAACAGCCGTAGTCCGTAAACTTCACACGTGCCAAATACGTGAGCCAATCACAGGCCAAGGATTCCTACAACGCGAAATTCGTATAACGAGAAACGTATCTTCACGTTATGGGGGGGTCTACTGTAAATACTATTTTCACAAAGTGCAGTAGATCCCACTATAAGACTGGTTCCTATAATTACGATTTTTATAAGACGGCGAAGAAATTGTGGCGGTATCCGTACACAATGGTAAGAAAAACTCCTATAATTACGTAAAACGTCATCGGGCAGCCGAACTACTTTCCCGCAGTCCGTAGCGCCACGCTACGGACGTTTAGGCGGGTAAATTGAGTTTAGTTTCGTCTGTACATATAATTATATATAAATTAAGTACTGTATATATAATTATATATTAACTTAATTTATTTTAACTTTATTATAATTATATATATATTATTCGCCGTCTAGCGTCACGCTACGGCGAGTTAGGCGACCTATCGTCTGTCCAGTACTGTAATTTTATACATTTCTTGTGAAAGAAACATTTCTTATTTAACGGCCATAAAAATTATTTATATTAAGGATGTCTCCAAAGGTCAACGAAGTTTTCGCAGAAAAATAATATCAGAAATCGCGGCCGC